ACAGGCAATGGACAACTGACAGCAACTAAATATTCTTTCAAGGTGCAAAAACTCAAAAAAGATCATCAATCGTAATTCACAAAAGGAAGTTATGCATTGTACAAGATTAAAATACAAGTCTTATAAAGTGGCCATTCTTGAGACCTTCATTTTAATTTTGGCTGAAACTGTGAGCTGAGCGTTGAAGGTGATCTTTGTACTGTGAACAGCAGCTGGTTTTAAAAACAGAATGAACAAACTGATATTTGTTTATGAGGCCAGGCCTGGAGGCTAATTGCAGGTTGATTTTAATTCAAAAAAGTCTGCAGACATTTCAATGCTGGACAGGGATTACGCTCAAATGTTGGCAGCTGCTCGGATGTTAACATGGGCCACCATAAACCGGTTGGCACAAGCCTCTCTAACAAACAGAATGCTGGAAAAACAAGAAAGAGAAACCAATCTTTTTTTTGTTGACAGAAAGATTGTGGCTGCCAAAGCAACAGGAAGGCGATCCAACAACAAATAGACTATTTTTTAACTGGGGAGAAAATTCAGAAGTCTGAACGGCAAAGAGACTTGGGAGTTCTAGTCCAGGATTCTCTTAAGGTAAACTTGCAGGTTGAGTGAGTAGTCAGGAAGTCAAATGCAACGTTGGCATTTATCTTGAGAGGACTTGAATATAAAAGCAGGGATGTATTACTGAGGCTTTATAAGGGTCTGGTCAGGCCACATTTAGAGTATTGTGCGCAGTTTTGGGCCCCATATCTCAGGAAGGATATACTGGCCCTGGAGTGGGTTCAGAGGAGGTTCACGAGAATGGTCCCAGGATTGAAAAGCTTAACATATGAGGAACGTTTGAGGACTCTGGCACTATACTCATTGGACTTTAGAAGAATGAGAGGGGGTCTAATTGAAACTTACAGAATACTGAATGGCCTGAGCAGAGTGGATGTTGGGAAGATGTTTTCATTTGTAGGAGAGACTAGGGCCTAAGGGCACAGCCTTAGAGTAAAGGGAAGACCTATTAGAACGGAGATAAGGAGAATCTTCTTCAGCCAGAGAGTGGTGGATCTATGGAATTCACTGCCACACAAGGCTGTGGAGGCCAGGTCATTAAGTACATTTAAGACTGAGATAAGACTGATTATCAAGGGGATCAAGGGTTACAGGCAGAAAGCAGGAGAATGGGGTTGAGGAACTTATCAGCCATGATTGAATGGCAGAGCTGACTCGATGGGCCGAATGGCCTAATTTCTGCTCCTATGTCTTATGGTCTTATATAGGAATAGGGAGGCTGATCTGATTCGGTTTTCTGTCTTCATATCATAACACAATAAACAGTAAGAAATCTGAGGAATGGAACATTTTTAGAATACAGTCAAGGAGGTCCAAGAAATTGATACAGAAACGAAAATCAGAATATTCATGCAATCAAGCAAAAGTAAAAGTTTACTGTACAAGTTTCGACAGGTATGTAAAATTGAAATCTTGACTAAGACAAATGTGAGTCCACTTCAAGCTGAGTCAGAAGAATTTAGAATGAGAAATAGCAGAGAAAATGACAGGAGAAATTATTACTTTGTGTCTGCTTTCAATGAGGAAGGCACAAGAAATGACATAGAGAGCCAAGAGACAAGGAGAATGAGGAGTTGAAGAAAATTAGTTGTGTAACAAAGTTGCTCTGGAGAAATTAATGTGGCTGAAAGTTTATAAGTCCCCAGGACCTGACAGTCTACATCCCAAAGTGTTGAAGGAGATGGCTATGCAGATACTCAATACACTGGTGGCCATCTTTCAAAATTCCATAGTTCTGGAATGATTCCTGCAGTTTGAAAGCTAGCAAATGTCAACCCACTATTTGGAAGGGATCAAGAGAGATAATAGGAAACTACAGACCTATCAATTGTACATCAACAGTAGGGAAAGGCTTAAATCGATCATAAAGGATGTGACAAACAAACACTTGAACAAAGATGATCTGGTTTTGACATAGCACAGATTTGTGAATGGAAAATAGTGTTTGACAAACTTGTTGGGAGTTGTTTTGAGGATGTTACTAACAAAACTGATAAAAGCAAGCTGATGGACGGAGTTTAGTTGGATTTTCAGAAGGCTTTTGATAAAGTCGCCCACAGAAGGTTGGTTAGTAAAGTTAAAGCACATGGGACAGAGTAGGTAATGTGCTGGCATGGATTAAGGATTAGCCAATATACAGAAAACAGAGTAGGAATAGAGGAGGCATTCCTGTGTTGGTGGACTGTGGCTAATGGGGTAGCACAAGGATTGGTACTTGGGTCCAAGAATGATTTGGATGTGGGACCAAAAGTAATATTTCTAAATTTGTGAATACAACAAAGCTAAGCAGGAATGCATGTTGTGAGGAAAGTGCAAAACTGCTTCAAAGGATTTTGGTAGGTTTAGTGAGTGTGCGAGGACATGGCAGATGGAATATAATGTGGAAAAATATGAGGTCATACACTTTGATAGGAAGAACAGATGTGCAGAGTACTTCTTAAATGGTCAGTGATTGGAAAGTGTACATGTGCAGCTGGGTGTCCTTGTCAATTAGTCACTGAAGGTTAACACGCAAGTGCAGCAAGCTATTATGTAGACTGATGGAATGCTAGCCTTTATCAGAAGAGGATTTGAGTGCAAGAGTAGTGAAGTCTTGTTTCAATTGTATGGGTGCTTGGTCAGATTGCACCAAAGGCTTGGCAGTCCAAATGGCATACTTCTGTCCCTAGTAGGTCAGGCCAAGTGAAGTGAGGATAGTAGAGCTCCTTCCCTAATGGACATGAGTGAACTTTTTTAAACAGTAATTTGATGATAGTTTCTGCAATTTTAAACATAAAATTACTTTTTCATTTCACTTGTCTTGATCGGATTTGAACCCATAGTGCCACAGTATTAGTCAGGGAATCCCGATTGCCTGTTCAGTGAGATTATCACCATGGTACCACCATTAAGAACCTTAACGATTCTATTACACTATAGGACACTGATGTACAAAAATTTAATGCAATCATTTGAGTTACTGTTATTTTTAACATAGACATTATTTAATTCAAAATTACCGACTGCTTATAGAATGGATAGAAATTTTGATTGAACCTACTAAATGTTTATACAGTACTATTGCATGGTATAATTTTGAAGTGTCTGTGAACTTGAATTTATCACACTTTCTATTTCTTCAGGCTGGTGACCCAGTATGAAATAAAATGCACTTTCACTAAAAATTACATTTATGAAATTACCTGTTCTTTTAATGACCCAACAAAGATATTTGGAATTTGGAAAAAAACATGAGATGTATTCACTGTGACAACAGATTTTATCACTGTGGAAATGATGACCAAAAATTCTGTGGTATTAGCTTCTACTAACAGGTGGCAGTATTTCATGGGCTGAATAATGGAGAATAAGATCTCAGGTTTCCCTGTATACAAGTAATATTTTAATTATGGTAGCAGTTTTTTTTTGCTTTTCCAAACATGCAGTCTAAGTTAGCCTCCTCATTATAAATGTTGCCTGTTATAGAGCATTCAAAATCAAGTGTTGACGATATTACAGTTGTCTTATTACAGGCCAAGACAGTTCTTGATCATAGATTGATGTCAAAAGTTATTTCACAGGTGGCATTTGCCAGTGCGAGCTCCAATGTCATGTGCTTGTGGAGTGCATTCTTCTGTACCTGATTAACACCCATTTAATCTTTAAATCTAGCACTGCTGTGCTATCTGTGAATTTCAAATGACAGTAATGTGAGCTCATCACATTGTCACATATATGCACACCATCATGTGCTATGACTATTTGAAGTCAATCCAGTCATTGCATATGATAGCTGAGAAAAACAAGAAACAATGCACAAACAGCTGCAATCACTTCAAACAGCAGCACAACTTGGGTTGGAGCACAGTAACAGTCAACAGAACATAAAAACATGAGAACTAGGAGCAGGAGTAGGCAATTCGACACTGCTATGCCATTTAACATGATCGTAGCTGATCTCATCTCAGCCTCAACTCCACTTTACTGCCCATTGCCCATAACTGTTTAACACATTACCAATTAAAAACCTGTTTATCTCCTCCTTAAACTTATTCAATATCCCGGTGTCCACCACACACTGGGGTAATAAATACCACAGATTCATGACCCTTTGAGAAAAGCAATACCTCATCATCTCTCTGCCACCCATTAAACCTAAGACTATTACCTCTCGTTCTAGCTTGCCCCACAAGGGAAACACCAGCTCTACATCTCTAAATTCCCCTCAGCACCTTATATGCCTCAATTAGTTCTCTTCTCACCCTTCTAAACTATAATGAGTATGGGCTTAGACTGTTCAATTTCTCCTCATTAGACAAACAAAAGTGAAGAGCCTTGGGCACAAGGGAAGAAGAAAGAGAAGATGGAAAAGGAAATTGTAGCGAGTAAAGAAGGGGAAGAAAAGGAGAAGAGAAGGGAGGAAGGGCCATTTGTAAAACTTGAATTTATTTTAGGCCCCATTAATTAATTCTCTATATGATCTAAACCAGCTTTTGTTGAGAATAGGTAATCCCTGTTCCTATCCTGTTTTGTCTTATATCAAAGTTATTTTGTTTACTCTTAAAATGTTTTTCAAATATGTTGTCGCTTTTTTTTTTAGAACTCCTCTCAAATATTTTGACTCTTGTACATGACAAACAATACAGTATTAAGCACAGTTATAGACCAAAAAAGAAACAGTTTACAGTAGTATTACCTGCATCCTGAAGAAAAATCACAGTGTCAGCCGTTAGACTACCCAGCATGCCACTGCAAATGTTCACAATCACCATATAATCTGATCCAAAACACTGGGATTCAACAGGACAGAATTTATCGCATGACACAGTCCAGTGGCAAATTAACAAACGGCAAACAAATTTACTTGTTATCAATTCGAATGCCAACAGCATCAATGGTTTTACTGATTGATTTTTAACAGCAAACAATAACAACTGAAGTAATTTGAATGGCAGCTTTCCTACCATAACTGTAGCGGAGTAAGTACTCTTGACAGCAGGCGTGTCAAAGCAGGGGAAGAAGGACCTGTTACACACTGAGTGACCATGTGTAAAAAGGAACGGTTTGGATTTTCCATTTGTTAATTCTGGATCCAGCCACCAAATCTGAAAGTATGAAAAAAATACAAAATACTTGAGTCATTGAACGCTTTAAATTGCTGTTTTACTTTGTGATGTTTACTTGCGTATTGTTGGACAATTGGTCTTAATCTCACTTCTGATTTCTAAATCCTGCACAATTACTCTCCAGTTGATGTGATTTGAGAATTAGATTGAGAATCCAATATTTTAGGTCATTGTTGCCTATGCTATTGAAAGACCTGAGTATTTCTGCTTCTGTGCTGCATCTTAGAAGGCATAATGACAATAAAATTGTGTTACATAAGTTAATTAACTGGTGGGAATATTTCAACTGATGCAGCAAACAGGTATATTACTTTGGAAGACAGCAGCAGTTAACAGTTTAAAATCTACACATCCATTGTGAAAAAGGTTTTGTACTGTGGTCTCTTGTCTAAAGTGACGTATGGTGGACTCACTTTTCAGCTCATTTGTAATGAGGCCATATGTAAAACAATGAGAATGAAATGCTTATGTCTATGATTAATAATTCATGTGACTCTGGGAGTTCTGCTTCAGTAGCAAGCAGATGAGGTGGTGGAGGCTGGTACAATTACAACATTTAAAAGTCATCTGGATGAGTACATGAATAAGAAGGGTTTAGAGGGATGTGGGCCAAATGCTGGCAAATGGGACTAGATCAATTTAGGATATCTGGTCAGAATGGATGAGTTGGACCGAAGGGTCTGTTTCCAGCTATGACTCAATGGCTACAGGATATATGAAGCCAGGTGGCATGCTGTAAAAATACACACAACAAATTGACCAAGGGAAAACAGGAGCATCCCTGATGAGTTAAAAATCAGATGTCTTTTTATTGTAAACACAACACAAATTTTATACCATGCAAACCATTTACTAGTTTTAAAGTTTATGTCATGTTAAATGATTATATTCGGTTAGCTCAGTTGGCTGGATGGCTGGTTTGCAATGCCAACATCGTGGGTTCAATTCTGCACCAGCTAAGGTTACAATGAAAGACTCTACTTCCCAAAATCTCCCTTCACTTGAAGTGTGTTGACCCTCAGGTTAAACCATCACCAGGCATCTCTCTTTCTTATTTTACCTTAAGTGATTGCATCACGTAAGAGAAATCTTTAATCACTTTGATATTACCATGTAAATCTGTACCTGCATTCACATTTGTGATGATTTGAGTAAAATCAAGACACCTTCAAGAATTAGGAAAGACAAAACATGTAACGTATAATAATGTGAAAGATAATGCTAAAACATGTGTTTGCTGCAGAAAAAAAATTAACACATTGTCAAAGAGGCAAGAGTTGTGAGAATGTACAGTTCTCTAAGTGTGTGCAGCGACAGGGATTGAAGGGATTTGAACATGAAGATGAGAATTTTCAAATTAATTTATTGGTAGATTGCGAACAGGAGGTATTGTGGTACAGTGGCTGGTGTTTCTGCCTCTGAGCTAGAAGCTGCTGGTTCAAGTTCTGCTCCAGAACTTGATGGCCAAGGAAGATTAGTTCATAATGCAGCCCAACAAATTGAATTATAAGTAGATCTGGTTTTACATCGTTTGTTTTAGATTTAGCTTTCTAACTTGGTTTTTGAAACAACATACATGTTCTGCTAGTTTACCAAAGCAAATAGGCCATCTTGTGTTTTCACTCTACGTAACACACTAGCACAACTTCAGAACAATAACCACTAGTATTATAAAAATCAGCCAGTAGCGACAGATGATTGATTAGGAGGACCTCGATTTTGCTTTAATTGAACAAACTGTTAAATACCAGTATTTAATGAAGGACATATTTTCATTAACTTCTACCCATCAGTTAACTGTATTTTAAATAGTATTGTTTGAACAAATTTTGGGACAGAAAGGAACAAGACACCTCTATAGTCTGAAACTGTCAACACAATAATGAATAGAGGCTTGTTCATTTTACAGACAAGGTAAAGACTCCAAAAGACTCCACTGTCTTCACGTTTAAGTTGATAAATGCATATGGAGAGATCTAATCAAATTGACCAATTCCATAGCATTAACAAAGTAGATTTCAACAACAACGTATATTAAGGTGGTTGTGGGGTTCTTAATCTAATAATTGGGTTTATAAAAAATGGCTTCGCAAGCCATCATTTTGAATACTTCATAAAACCTGTAGCCATTGAGTCACAGAGATGTACAACTTGGAAATAGACCCTTTGGTCCATCTCGTCCATGCTGATCAGATATCCTAAACTGATCTAGTCCCATTTGCCAGCATCTGGCCCATGTCCCTCTAAACCCTTCTTATTCACGTACTCACCCAGATGACTTTTAAATGTTGTAATTGTATCAGCCTCCACCACCTCCTCCTGGCAGCTCATTCCAAATATACACCACCTTCTGAGTGAAAAAGTTGCCCCTTAGGTTCCTTTTAAATCTTTTCCCCTCTCGCCTTAAACCTATGCCCTCTAGTTTTGGACTCCCCTACCCTGGGGAAAAGACACTGGCTATTCATCTTATTCGTACCCCTCATGATTTTATAAATCTCTATAAAGTCCCCCCTCAGCCTCCGATGTTTCAGGGAAAATAGCCCCAGCCTATTCAGCCTCTGCCTATAGCTCAAGACTTCCAACCCTCAGTAAAAAGGTAGTCCTGCCTCAGGCTAGAATTTGAATCATTTAAAACTAACTTAGTTTTTGGGGATTGTTCTAAGTTCGGATACCTCTGACTGCAGGTTGAGCTCCTGTCAGCTCAAAAAGTGGAAGTACTTGTCTCAAGAAAGGAAATATTGTCCATTAGCTGGGCTTCTGATTAAAGTCCATCAGATTAAAGTCCATCTTGCATTTCTGATAAGTGCATTTTTTGTTAGTCAGTTAAATAGTCTTTAGTTCTTAGGTTTGTGTATTGTTGTGTTTGTTTATTCTTAATAAAATTTGATATTATTCATTAATTCGATGTCCCAGTTGGGATTATTTTTTGAACTTGAAGCATCTGAACGAAATGGTTTGAAAGGTTAATTCGAGATTTTAAATGGGCGTCCACAACTAAATTGACCCAATCTAAATGACCTAAATACCCTTTCCAAACATTCAAGTGATAACTTGTAAATCATTCCAACATATCAAAATGGTAGGTACTAAGACCGGGAGAGATTTCTGATCCATCATTTCTGAAGCCTCTGACATCACTAATCAAAAGTCCAAAACGACAATATTTTGCACAGTGTTGTTTTGACAAAGCAACTGAAACTCTGAGGGAGGTTAGTTGGGTTAAACGGTTGACTGGCTAGAATGATTCAGAATACTGCCAACAGCATGGCGTTTGATCCCCATTCTGGTTGGGGTGGATTCAGCACCTGCCTCCTTGGCTCCACGGCAGAGATTGCAAGACTATGGACCAGACCCATCTTCAGGCAGAAAACTGAAGTGGGGGGTTGCAAACTAGAACTGAGGGTGAACAGTAGTTAAGGGCAGCTAGGTTCTGGAGCAGCTTACATTTTTACAGAGTGAAAGATGTGTGACCAGGCAGGGAAACACTGGAACAATCAAAGTCTCAAGATAACAAAAGCATAAAAAAAGGCTCAGCAGCAGATGGACCGATGCAGGGCAACAATGGGCAATATGATGATCATGGAAGTAAGCAGCCTTAGTGATGGAGGGAATATGGAGTTACAAGTCCATCAGTGGTAAACACAATGCAGAGGTATAGAACAGAAGAAGTGGGCCATTTGAATAGCTAACGTCACTCCAATACTCAAAAAGGGAGGCAGAGAGAAAACAGGGAATTATAGACCAATAAGTCTAACATCAGTAGTGAAGAAAATTCTCGAGTCCATTGTCAAGGACTTTATAGCGGAGCATTTAGAAAGCAGTGGCAGAATCAGACAGAGTCAGCATGGATTTATGAAGGATAAATCATGCTTGACAAATCTGTTGGAATTCTATGAAGATGTAACTAGTAGAGTTGACAAGGGGGAAGCCAGTTGATGTGGTATATTTTGACTTTCAGAAAGCGTTTGACAAAGTCCCACGTAAGAGATTATTGTGTAAGATTAAAGCACATGGGATTGGGGGAAGTGTATTGAGATGGATAGAAAATGGTTGGCAGAGAGGGAATAAAGAGTAGAAATTAATGGGTCCTTTTCAAATTGGCAGCCAGTAACTAATGGGGTGTCACAGGGATCAGTGCTGGGATTCCAGCTATTCACAATATTAATTAATGATATGAGCGAGGGAACAAAACGTAACATCTCAAAGTTTGCAGATGACAGCAAGTTGGGTGGGAGGGTGGACTGTGACGAGGATGCAGAGATCCTTCAGCATGATCTTGACAGGTTGGGTGAATGGGCAAATCAATGGCAGATGCTGTATAATTTGGATAAATGTGAAGTTATTCAATTTGGAAGGAAAAACAAGAAGGCAGATTACTATCTGCATGGATGTAAATTGGGACAGGGGAGTATGCAGCAGGACCTAGGTGTCCTTGTGCACCACTTGCTGAAGGTAAGCATGCAGGTGCAGCAGGCAGTAATGAAGGCAAATGGTATGTTGGCCTTCATTGCAAGGCGTTTGGAGTACAGGAGCAGGGATGTGTTCTTGCAGTTATACAGGGCCTTGGTGAGGGCACACCTAGAATATTGTGTGCAGTTTTGTGTCTCCTTTTCTTAAGAAAGATGCTCTCGCTCTCGAGGGAGTGCAGCAAAGGTTTACCAGGCTGATTCTGGGGATGGCAGGACTGACATATGAGGAGAGATTGACTAGGTTAGGATTGTTTTCACTCGAGTTCAGATGAACGAGGGGGGGCTCTCATACAGACGTATAAAATTCTAACAGGACTGGACAGGGTAGATGTAGGGAGGATGTTCCCAATGGTGGGGGTGTCCAGAACCACGGGTCACAGTCTGAGGATTCGGGGTAGACCATTTAGGATGGAGATGAGAAGACATTTCTTCACCCAGAGTGGTGAGACTGTGGAATTAATTTCCACAGGAAGTTATTGATGCCAAAACATTGAATGTATTCAAAAGATG